TTTTTGTTTTTGTTTTTTGGATTTTGTTGTTTGATTGTGATGAAAAATTGATTGATGAAGATGAAGAAGGCAAGGCAAGGTAGTTGCTGGGTTATTGCAGGTGTTGGGTTCGATTTTTCAATTTTGAATGCTAGGTTTTTGCAGGTGCTGGGTTCGTTTGCAGGTGCTGGGTTCGAAATCAAACCAGCAGGCGATGGGTTTAAGGCCCTGGGTTTTGTTTCGAACCCAGCAGCCGTTGGGTCAAATATCTATTGAGTTTAATCTGTTGATTTGTTGTGTTATTCTCGAATTTAATATTAAGAGTTAGGGTTTGCAGAAGGTTAAAGGAAAGGGAGAGGGAGAAGAAAGGGAAAAAGGAAAAACAAACAAAGAAACAAAAAAAAGGAATAACAAATTTTTTAAGATTTTTTTCTTGCTATCTCATTTTTTTGTCACACTGTGCATCCTAGGTGTCAAAATGTTTTTACATGTCATCATTTTCCCGTCAAGAAACGGGACACGTAGGTTGATATTTGACGGAATGACCAAATCGAGGTAAAAATGGTAAACAGTAGGGACCAAATTAGGGATTTTTTTAGTTTAAGGACCAAATCGAGGGTCCGTATAATAGTTCAAGTATCAAAAAGAGATTTTAACCTTTTATTTTTTGTTTAAAAATGTATCCATCCCAACTGCTATACTAAAGAAGTGGATTTGGGAACTTTACCTTTTCCATTCGCATTTTGTGGTTGCCAACTTCACTAGATTTTTTTATTAAATTAATATTATTGAAAAGTGGGAGAATAAAATACAATTCTCAATTGGTGGAATTTGTTGTAAAAAGAAAAAAATAGCAATCAATTGGCATGCTTTTATATTTAGAGTTTAATTGTATTTTATTTTATTAAATAATTTATTAATAAGGTAGTGGACTAGAGGTTGTCAAGTGGCCAACTTTACTAAATTTTTTATTAAATTAATGTTATTAAAAAGTGGAAGAATAAAATATAATTGTCAATTTGGTGGAATTTGTTGAAAAAGGAAAAAAATCAACAATCAATCATTCATTGGCGGGATTTACAGTGACAAATGAAAAAATGGCAGAATATAATGCAGTTGAAAAAATAATAATAAAATAATTGATATTTTTATATAAGAAATTTTTTAATTTATGTTTTTAAAATAAAAGTTAAATTTTATTTAATGTAATATTTACAATTAATTTGATACAAAATTTTATAGTAGATTTAATTAAAATTAAATATAAAATGTAAAATAAAAATATAATATAATATTTATTTTCAAAATATATAAAAAGATAAAAATTTAATATAAAAATTTATATAAAATTAATATTATAATTAATGATGCTTAACTTAAGGTTAGAAAAACCCTTCAGATAAAATTGGACCGACCTTTGCGATTATTTGTTTATGAGCCCAAAAACTGATAACCGCTTGATTGGGCTTCGGTTACAACCAAAGCCCGACTTTAACCCACTAAAACTTTTTTTTATCCAACCCAACAATTTCAGTTTCAAATGGACTCCGGCTAACCGTCGGTTTCAGGCTAAACATCGCAGGCCTATTTTTTGGGAACAAAGACAATTTACCAATTACCATACATTCCTTTTGACCAAAGACATAGCACTGCATTGAATTAATGGCGATGCAAGTACATGCGGTGCTAGTGCTA